CTTCTTCCTCCTCTATCAAATTCAGCCACATTATGCTCATGCCCTGTCCCAATCGTTTTCCTCGTGACCAGGTCCTGAAAGACACAATGTGTGGGGAAGAATGTCACAGTACAGTTTAGTAATTTAGTAATCTTACTAACAGATAAAAGGTTATAGGAAAAATTAGGAAGATAGAATATGGAGGAAAGGAGGAGACTAGGTGTAGGATTGGTGTTGTCGATATCCTGAACAGGTGTACGTGAACCATCGGCTAATATAACTGAATTAGATGTAAGAGAGAAAGAGGACAAGATACCTTGATTCCCAATTATATGATCAGTGGCATCTGTATCTATAATCCAAGTATGAGACGAAGATGATGTAAGTAAAGATAAAGAGATACCTACACTTTTGAGAGTAGTGGATAAAGAGGAAGATGATGGTTGTGAACTTTGATACTGCAGGAATAATTAAAATTGTTGAAATTGACACTGCAGCTCCGTATCCTGAAAGACTGAATGTAGTTGACTTTCACTATCAGATGAGGTGAAGTTGTCCTGAGCAGCCATGTAAGCACCATTAGCCTTCTTCTTTTTCAATTCAGGATAATTATATTTGAGATGTCCTGGTTGGTGACAGTAGTTACAAGTCTTCACTGAGTGATTGCTATTAGTATGTCTGCCTTGAGATGGACCTCTACGGTCACCTCGTTGACCAGCTCGGTCCCTAGAACGACTAGTGTGGTAACCTCCTCTCCCTTCAAAGTTATCTCTATCTCTTCCAGCACCACTAGTATGACCCCCTCGTCCATAAGACCTATGAAGCACGGATTCGTCCCTGGAAGCCACGAATCCGTGTTCGACTCGAATCAAACACGGATTCGTGCAAGACACGTGTTGGACACGGTCAATCCGTGTTTGACACGGTTCAAAGGTCAAACCAAGGGGGACACGGTCAATTGCAGCGAGGACACGGCTTGGATTCGCCGAAGCTGAAAAAATCACTAAAGACAACCCGTAACCCGAAACCCAAACCCAAACCCAAAAGACCAAAACTAAACCCTAATATTCACTTACCTCAGACCGACGCCGCTCGTCCTTGTCTTCTCATCTCGTCACCTCGTCTTCCGTCAGATCTCTTCTCTCAGATCTCGTCGTCGTCCTCATCCATCGATCTCCTCGTCGTCTCGGATCTCGTCGCCCATCTCGTCGATCTCGTCGCCTCGTCTGCTAGGTAAGATCTTCTAACTGGATCTCGTCTTCTTCGTCTCTCTCTCGATCTGATCTCTTCGTCTCTCTCTCGATCTCTCGTCTTCTCTTTCTCTGAGTCTCGTTCTCTCTCTCTCTGATTCTCTTTCTCTCTCTCTCTCTCAATATCTCCGTCTCTCTCAATCTCTCCGTCTCTCAATATCTCCGTCTCTCTCTAAATCTCTCTCAATCTCTGTCTCTCTCCCTCTTCACTTATTTTATTTTGAAAAGACTTAAAACTTTTTTTTATAGAACCGTCTCTCTCCGTCTCAATCTCTCCGTCTCTCTCCAAATCTCTCTCAATCTCTGTCTCTCTCCCTCTTCACTTATTTTATTTTGAAAAGACTTAAGCTTTTTTTTATAGAAAAGACTTTAACTTTTTTTGAAAATGACTTTTCGTTTTTATTAAAGAGGATGAGGTCTAGGTGAATTAATTCTTCTGGAGGGTTTTATGCAAATGTTAACCATGTATCGTCCAAAGTTTAATTGGATAGCATAACCATGTATTGGGCTTCAATCATTAAAGTTATTTCTTCTGAAGGGTCTGAAGCAAATGTAAACCTTTTTACCGATCTTGAGCGTCAAAAAATTAACTTTGGGTGTTTTTGCAAACATAAAACTACAATAGGTCTGTTTGTAATTGATTCTTCATCCTTGCTCGTTGCTACTTAACTCTCAAGTATAATCTGTAAAAAGAAAAACAAAGTCAGTGAGCAATAACTTATTAATTAGTATAATTAGAAAAAAGAGCTTAAAATTTTCTATATATAATAATAATTTGAAAAAAAATTCCTCGTTGTATCCCCGTATCCTATTTTTTTAGATTTTATCGTATCCCGTATCCGTGTCCGTGTCCGTGTCCGTGTCATATATGTGCCCCGTATCCGTATCCGTGAATCATAGCATAAGACTGCCAACTCTGAGTGGCAAGCGCAGAGCGATCCGCGGTGGATGTAAGTGGCTGTGCAGAGATAATGTTCTTCAAAAAGTGATAAGTCTCGCCAGAGCACCAATGGGGGAACTTCCCATGATTTATGGTCGAGCAGAGGAGTAAATGGAATCTAGGGTACCAAGTAGGTGAGTACCATAAGTTTGTTTTATTGGTTTTGCATCTGTTTTACATCCCAGTAATAGGAAAAATATGATGAAATTTCTCAGCCAGACGATTGAACTCACTATAATAATCATCCATGGGTTAACCATCCTGTTTTTTACGAAACAGCTCTTGAATAGCCTCATATGCTCGATTAACATTACTGCTATCCCCATAGAGATCTTGTAAGAAACACCAAAGTTCCTTCATTGTCATACAATGACGGACTAAATCCTGAATTTTAGGCTCCATAGTATTAAGAATCTGATGTAAGAGGACACTATCATCTAATGTCCAATACTCCGGTGTCGGAGTAGGAGGGTCCGTCAATAAATAACCAGTTTTGCCTCGCCCTGCCACATAGATTTCAATAACACACTTCCACTGGAAATAGTTAATTCCATCAAGTTTTCGATTAGTGATTCTACTAGAAAATATCTCTGAAACTTTCATCTGGACCGTTTAACTCAGAATTATTGAGTTCCTCAGATCCGGTCATCATGAAACAGACGAGTAGAGATCAAGACGATACCCTCCATAAGAACAAGTCCAAGAGCCCGGAGGTTAACAATGCAAGAACCCGAAGGTTATCATACATGAACCCGAAGGTTAAAATGCAAGAGTCTGAAGGTTAACATGAAACCCGAAGGTTAAAATTCAAGAACCCGAATTTTTTTTGGAGAACAATTCGCAGATGTAAGTCAGATCTGAAAACAAAGGGACATGTCAGCGACGATCATCAATGGTGGGCGGGAGTTGTCGAGGAAGATCGGATCGGTGAAGTGGATCTGGATCTGGAGTTTCCTCCGTGGACCACCGATTCAACGATCCGAGTCGGACATGAAGGAGGTTTGACGTTGATGTTTCGATTGTGGAAACAAGAACTGAAGTGAATATCTTAGCAATGTAAGATAAACACTCTTCTTAAGATCAAATCGAAGTTTGAACTCGAGAAAACACCGAGCAAGATAAGATATCCAAGTTGTTAAGGAAGCAAGTGGCAACGAACAAAGCAAGTGGCGGCGGGGGGGGGGGGAGGAGGGGGAGAGGAGACGACTAGGGTTTCGAGAGAGAAGAGAGGCGGCGGCTAGGGTTTAGGAATTAGGGTTAGGGTTAAAACAAGTGGCGGCGGGAGTTAGGGTTAGGGTTTAGGAGGCTCTGATACCATGTTAAAGTTTGGAGAGAAAAGAGATTATTGGAGAGTTATCCCCTCACTCTATACTTTGTTTGTAGAGATGGATTAGTTACAAGTTAGTCTCACAAGCAATGTGAGACTAAACTAATACTCTCTTCTTCTAATAGTAGTTAAGCACACCAGATAAGATAACTTCAAATCTAATGATGTAATTAACAAATTTGGTTACTTTCATTACTGTTTTGCATTTTTAAGTTATGCAAAGCTTCATGTTTTGTAGTTACTTTTCAAGTATCAATTGCATAAAACCTAGGATTTGATAGAATGTAGATCTCAATAGGCTCATCCTCTAACGTATGGACCTATGCACTGATAAGAAAAGAACATACTCCAAGAATGGGGTGTATAATCTAATGAGAGTGTAATCTGATGTGTGGACTCATGGGAAGTAAGTTGCAAATTAAATACTCAAAACTTGGCTCGAGACTTTTGACAATCAAGGGAGAGGAATTTGGAACCTGAGAGACACAATTCAACGAAGGGAGAAATAACTCTAGAATAAATGCTTACTATTCTGGCGTTTCTGGTGGAGCGCATGTCAATATCAAAGATAAAAGGTACTAACTATAATTTGAGGTATTGGGCGTTTGAACAAATTATAAGCTGATACAAGATAAGAAGTAAGACATTTAGCAAAAGAATTAGTGGCAATATTATTTCTTTGTTGTCATCCTTAAGCATCCTTCTGTAAGCAATAGTAGGCAGGATTAAGTACTATCTTGAATAGTGATGCAAATCTGGCAGAAGATTTGATGAAGACTTTAGTTGGGATTTTATTATTTTTAAAGACATTTAATTTTTCTTTTAGTTGAGATCTTTAATTAGGATTGAGTTTGTTGTTTAGTTAGGATTGAATTTATTATTTTGTTGGGATATGCTATTTTATTTTATCTATTAGTTGAGATTAAATTTTGTTTTATTCCCATAAAAGGGGTTGTATTTTTTCATTTTATGGATGAGAGAAAAATGTTTTGGAGAAACCCTGCATGTGCATTGCAGCTAGTGTAAGGCATGTGAAGTGCCTAGCTGTGAGGCCCATCAAGTGTATCTTTTTTTTCCTCAAATTAAGAGTTCAATTTCAATATTTGTTTTTTTTCCTACTTTGTTCAAATAATCATTCTCAGCAGATCACTATGTTTCCATTCTTCACCAAATAGGATTTAAACTTTTACTCAAACAGGTATGACACTGAGAACTTATAAATCACTCTTCTTTCTGTAATCTAGCTAGGGACATTTCAACTATAAAAAGTCCCTGGTTTCTTGTTACGGTAATTGTACAAAATGGGAGTTAATTACCCCAAAACATTGGTAGCAAGAGTTCAAGGCAAGATGTATTTTGTGCAGCCATCAGACTAACCCGACGGAAAGCCATATCTTCACATTGCTACATACACTGCAGTTTTGTTTATAAAATTTATTTACTGTCAACATCCTACTTTTCTTTTCTAATGATGATGCCTGTATATTACATGGATGCTATGCAGGACAATATTGTCCAGTATAATGAAGATATGCTGAGGAGGATGCATGATCCAACATATAATCATCAAGAATCATTCAAGCCTTTTTTATCTGACTATCATGTTAGAGAACCTGAAGAAGATATTGCACAAAAGATGGATGCTTTACTTCCTCTAGGCTCTAAAAGAAAGAACGTCGAGATACCTATGCCACCACTTTTGCTTGCACCTATTCAGAAGCATGGTATCAGGTAATCTTTTGCATGATTTGATCTCTGCGATAGGTTTTCCCTTTTAAAAGGTTTAAAAAGTTCAGCTCTTAACAGTGTGACTCATCTAGTGTAAAAGTTATGTCGAATAAATTTGAGGAGTCTTTTATTGTGAAGAGTTCTCTTTAGTGCCAAATAGATACTGGGCAAAATATGTCGATTACTTTTCAGCCAAAATACTGCTGATATGCAATGCATAAAAAAAACCAGTCAGAAATAAATGGAGACAATCCTTGAAATGAGCTGCTTTCCTGGGCCTGAAATCTCAACAAACCCACCTTCCTCCCAAACTCATGTACTCATCCATAGCCAAAATTTTCAAATCTTTTGATCCCACATCCATACAAACTCTGGTTCTACCCATAAAAAAAAAATAAAAATAAAATAAATAAATATATAAATAAATAAAATCTAAATATCAAGCACTAATTCAGGAGGGCACACTGAAACAGATTGTTAGAGGGAATGAATCTAACCATCACCTTAGCTTTGATGCAATTTTGTTGGTTGATACAAGGATGGAGCTTTGTAGAAAATGTGATCGTTTCTCCTATCATATTGTAGGCTTTTTTTTCTCCTCCAAAATTTTGGTGGCCCTTACGTAGACGTGCATGATAAGATTTTGAGTCTAGAACCCACATCATATGATCTGCACTAGACAGGGTCCCTTGTATCCTGTCTGGTCATAACATCAAACCCTACAACTTGTACTTGGAATCTTTGGTTAATTGTGATTCAATATGCAATGTAGCTGTCTGGTCATAGCATCAAACTCTACAACTTGTACTGGTCATAGCATCAAACCCTACAACTTGTACTTGGAATCTTTGGTTAATTGTGATTCAATATGCAATGTAGCTGTCTGGTCATAGCATCAAACTCTACAACTTGTACTTGGAATCTTTGGTTAATTGTGATTCAATATGTAATGTAGCCACTCAATTGACTTACTCATGAACAAAACTCAAGGAAGGCCAATTCTGATGTGAATGAAAATTACATGCCCAATTTAGGCTTGGGTGTTTTTTCTTTTAGTTTCTTTAAAGCTACATATTCCATATACTTCGTGTTGCACTCCTTAACATTAATCATTAAGAACACAATCAAATGCAAAGTTAAGAATCAGTGACATATAAACCAATAATCATCTTTGGAGCAATAATGACTAATGCATTAGGGTCCTTGAAAGGCCATACATGATCAAACTGAGAAATTTAGCAGAAAACAGGAGGTGGACATAAGCGCTTGCCCCCATCTCCTTATCCTGGGCCTCCACCGTGTCGCAATTGCATCACTGTCTCATCCACAGAAGACATAAATCTTTTTTGTTTGAGAAAAAAGCGGATTTTGTTAAGGAATTGAAACAAGAGGATTAAGAATGGAAATAAGAGTCATCTTTATATATATAGATGGAGGAAAAGTTGCTTAGAAAAGGGAACGGAGGCCGAAGTTGAATTTTGTCACAATTGTTTAGTGTATGTTTGGTAATCAATGTGTTTTTTTGTAAAAAACCACCATGTCATGGTGTTTCTTTTTCAAATGTGCTTTGAAAACATCATTTTGGTCAAACTAGTTTGACCATTTATATAGCGGCAGGCAACGACTTACATGAAAAAACGAAATCTCAAAACACGTTTTTGGTGTTTTGAGACAAGTGTTTAATTTTTAGATTTTGTAAAGAGACAAGTCAAAAAAACACCCTGGTTGCCAAACACGTTTCTTTATTTTTATTAAAAAAATAAATAGAAACGATAAAAACACCACGGTTGCCAAACGCTCCCTTAGAGATTGACGGTAAAGATGCGTTTGTTATGACTATTGTGGAATGATGAGGTGGTAGAAGTGTTAGTATCTAGATGGGGTTGAATAGGGTTGTAAATTTTTTTCGAGAAGTAATAACAATTAACAGAATTATGCAGTGAAAAATAAATAATGTAAAGAACAAGCAACCACAACCACAAGCACACGAGATTTTTATAGTGTTTGGATAAATACTACGTCAACTCTTCCTCCTTGTCAGGAGGGGCTCACACACTATATGAGAGTTTTTCTGGATTACAAGCCCAATCCAGTAGGTAATACAAGACCACACTTTAGACTAACCCTAATCTACTTATCCCAAACAATCTCACACAGGTGTAGCCTTGGCTCTCTGTTAGGAGCCCTAACTCCTTAATTAACCCTAGCTTAAGTGCGCCATAAAAAACTCTGACCACACGATCGTAAAATAAGAGTGTTTACAAAATAAATATCTTTTAAGTTCAAATTAAAAAATCTCACAGCCCTTTTGAATTAAAACCCATTCTTCACATGATTAGATTGTGGATTCTGAAGAACGACGTCGATGATTAATCTAGGGTTAGTTGCACTTCACGAAAGAATCAGATACGGTGATGTAGAAAGCTCTAAGGACATGCACAAAATCCGGGAGGCAATGCTGACGACTTGCAATCAAGAACACTTCAAATCCTAGGAGATTATCCCTTTTCTCTCAAAGCTCTGAATCTCTGCAATTCTCTCTTGATATTCTCTTGATTTCTAATGGAAAATAAGCCCCAGAATAGCTTATATAAGTACCTTGATGAGCGACTCAGATTGCATCTAAAAAACTAAATGAATCTGTTTAAACCCGTTGACCAGACGTTCGGAAAACAGGTCAGACGTATCATCTTGATCTACTCTAGTCCGGAAATAAAGCCAAATGTATCATCTTGATCTACAAACCTCTGTGAACTGTTTTGAAATTGTTTTCTGTCGTGACAAGTTTAGCCGTCTGCCCTAGATATCCATATGTTTGGTCCATATCCAAACATCTGGTTTGAAGTTTCATCCAGCTCTGTAATATTTCCTCAAAATCAAATATCTGTCAAGTGATTTTCAATAGTCTACAACCACATGTCTGGGCTAGATTCCAGATGTCTGCTGCATTGCTTTAGCTGTCTGAAAACATGCATCGAGCACTATATACACTTCTAACATGCACAACACAACTTCGAAACTTGTTAAACACTTATGAATGTTCGTTATTGATCAAATTGAGTCTATTTTGTGACTATAGTGCCAACAATCTTCCCCTTTGATAATAACAAACTTATAAATTGAAGTCAAGTATAAAAGTTTTGAAATAGTAATTAAATCAAGCACACTCATTTTCATGGCCAGCAAATGTATAATTAAGAATGAATTCTTTACAACTAAGCACACATGAAACATGAGATGTAGTTTAACAACGAGCTCCCCCTAGTAGTTTAACAACGAGCTCCCCTTCCACAAAGTTCATGTATATCAAAACAGAAACATTTCACAAATTCTTTTTGAAAAACATTTCACAAATTCTGCTCAAATCAGAAAATTTAACTTTTCTTTTCCCCTTCTCGAAAAAAAACTCCCTCTATACAAAGACAACAAAGATTCAAGATGATTTCAATCAATCTTCCCCTTTCGTTGTCATCAAAAGATCAAACTTCTATAATAACCACATTAAGATGAAAAATATGGAATAATTCAGTTAAAATAGAATAGAGAGAAAATAAGTTCAGAAAAATTCGATATTCAAAGTAAAGTAGGCGAGTTGATATTGAATGCCTATATGAATCCCATCATGACTTGCCATGTATGTGTTTGAAAGATCTGTATCACGGTAATAGAGTGTATCATATAGTGAGATTAAGACCAACAATCTATATATGCACTGAGCATTGCAATTAATCACATGAGAGAAAGATGAAAATAGAACTAATCTCAACTTTCAAAGATATAGACTCGTACACTTTGCCGAATTGAACTTACAAGGAGAGTCAATAGTGCTTGGTGGGTTAAAGAGACACCATCTCTAAATATAAATCGTCTAGTATTGAATGGATACGCTTGAAAATACATGACTAACAAATCCACGAGTCATCGCCCATTGGCCTCTTTTATGCCACTCCTTTTTGTGGATTTAGATGAGTGTGCACTCATTGGCCTGTTTTATTGCACTCAACCGAATTCATTTAACATTTTTGTTATTCTTTTATAGTGTCAGTGGATGTGTTCCTATTTTGACTTAAAGACTCATGTGACTGAATTACACACCTAAACACATAGTTTGTGACTTTAAAACACATTATTAATTTCCAAACAAAAATCTTGACAAAGGTCACACGCGAAGTGTATGTGGCGGTATTATGAAGTGACTATCATAAACATGCATTGAGATCAATTAGCATTATGTATAGTAGGGTTTTGAAAAATAGGACTAGGTAAGAAATTAATCATCTCTGTGCTATTAATCATGATTATGCCAAGTTTCATAAAAAATGTAGGCACGCAAGAAGCAAAGTAATTAGATTTTCTCTTTTACACTTTTTTTAATTTTTTCATTTGAAGACTTCGACCTTAACCTATAGCAAAGTCCTACTTAGATGTGATAACAAGGTGTGGTAGACAGGACTTTCCTAATGGTAAGGCCAAAGTCTTCTAATGTCAAAAGTCATCCAAAGAGCTTGTGCACAAGTACCTAGAGCTATGTACTTGACCTCAGTAGTTGATAATGCTACACAGTTTTGTTGCTCTAACAAGTGTCCTATACGACTATTGCTTTTGCTATCTATATGACTATCAACATAGTCACTATCCCAGTATCCAACTAATTCAAATGAATTACAAATTAGAAACCATAAGTTGAATTTTTGCGCTCTAATAAGATAATGGAATATTCGTTTACAGCTTTCAAATACGATTCTTTCGAATTAGCCTGTATTCTAGCAGAAAAACAGAGAAAACATAATATCATGACACAAAGTTGTTAGATAAAAAAGGCTACCGATCATACCTTTATATTTCTTTTTATCGATTGAGATATTGGTTTTGAGATATTGGTTTCATCTTTTGTTGCCTTAGTCGACGGGCTCGTCGGGGTTGTCGCTGCCTTTAAGTTATCCATGCCAAACTTCTTTAATAGGTCTTTGACGTATTTTTCTTGTGAGATGAACATACCATCT